GGCCTGCGCCTTCGTCGAACGGTGGGTAGCAAACTTCGGCTGACCTTCAACCATCACTACACATCGTGGACTCCAGTTCGAATCTGGAATTTTCCGTTGCCTGATCACACTAACAGGGATCACTCGCTTTCGAACAATCGCCTAACACTCACAGGCAAACGGGTTGGTAGGACGCTTTCACCGACAATTAAAAGCTTCACTGTCAGCTGCCAACGTTTCACAGCGGACCGACGCAATTTCACTCGTCCTAATAACTATTCACAATGCAATGAAAGCTGACATTGGATGCACTGGAACTCAACTCGTTTATGGAACGACACTTCGACTTCCAGGAGAATTCGTGGATCCTTCATCTTCTTCAATGAACATGGATCTACCCTCCTACAGGAGCAGGCTTACAGTGGTCGCACTTCGCTCCTTGTAATACTCATATTAATACATTTCTGTAATACCGTCGTTTGTGTTGTACGTTTATGAAAGTAGCCATAGTACCTGGATACAATGAAGGTGTAATCCACGTTAGGTGCTAACAGTGAGGTATGACTTCGACGTTAGCTGATTGGTCTAACTTGAGTAAGCCTCCAATCATTCAACATCGATCACCTACGTTGATAGTCTAAAGTTTCTTCGAAGTACTGCTTGGGTATTTCGGGACCAAATTGTGGTATATTTTGCAGTCAAATTTATCAGATTTCTCATGTTAGTTCACCAGATATCAGTTGTCTTAATGATGCACATATTTCTGATGAACTTTCCTATAAAAGTGAGGAAGATATGCCGAATGAATCAAATAATGAACACAAATCTGATAGGATTTTGTTAGATGCTCGTTTTCCTAATGGTCCATTATTCACCAATGAAACTCATAATGAATTTGAGGAAAATATTCCAGAAGTACCAAATCCTAACGATTTCATACCAAATGTTATTTGTTCTCATGATGCATTTGTTTCTTGTAGGAAACTAGTTCAATGCCAAGTACCAGTCCTAAATGAGCTTGATCCTCATTATAGTTTGGATGATTTCATATCAATATGCGTTAACGAGAATGAACATTAATCGTATTTCGATTCCCGAGCTGCTGAATTCTAACTGCCGATCACTAATCAACAAAGTGGACTATCTACAATTCCTACTAAGTCAAAATATGTATCGTAAATGTAGTGTCATCACAAGACCGATTTTGAATCTTTTGTGTGTGAAAATCCCTCCATATATACATTCGCACTTTGTTCCTACTGATTCCTTTAGTTGTACATTGTCAGTCTTTTCGACTCCATTTGAGTTGTTATTATTTGTATTTTATTATAGTTTTTATTTTTCTTACGCCTTCACTAAGTTTCTGCGTTTCATTCTGAACTGCATTTATGTTGTTTGTCCTCGTGCACGTATTCGCAAAAAATTTTGTTTATTTTTGGAAAAAATATATAAGTATAAGCATATTAATCTTTTTATTATATATAACACAAAGGAAAATCGAGATGGAGCAAACTGTTACCTGGTGTCTCACGTGCAATAATCGTTCAAAAAATCCGGAAACCTAACTCTTTCCAGAACGCGTTGTTTTAGGTTTATTTTCAGATACTGCCGAAGTGTCAACGTGCGTGTTGGCTGTCGGATGATGTTTTATAAGTGTCGGAGTCGTGTCGTTCGATTACATCGAAGGAAAATCGACATGGGTCAGATTTTCTTTTAAATACGTTGCTTTGATGCAGCCAATGCTGATGCTGTCATTAATTCCATTCTTATCGACTATTTAGTACTAAGGTTCGCGTCGAAGATCTTTGAAGGGTCCTTCGTATGCCGATTTGAGAAGTCGTCGATGTGAGTCTCAACGAACAAAACGTGTGTACTATATCATAAGTCATGTTGAAAGAAAACATCAGTTGATTGCGGTCGAGTGGAAACAGGTTTAACTGAACGCACTGCGTTTGTAAGCCTGCTCCTGTAGGAGGGTAGATCCATGTTCATTGAAGAAGATGAAGGATCCACGAATTCTCCTGGAAGTCGAAGTGTCGTTCCATAAACGAGTTGAGTTGCAGTGTATCCAATGTCAGCTTTCACTGCATTGCGAATACCTAGTAAGACGAGTGGAAGAGCGTCGGTCCACTATGAGACGTTTGCAGCTGATAGTGAAGCTTTAAGTTGTCAGTGAAAGCGTTCTATCAATCCGTTTGCTTTTGGGTGGTAGGCGGTCGTTCGGAAGTGAGTGATATTTATTTACCTCTACAGTACCTACACCGCCGCCACACCTCTTTTGATTGTTCGATCGATCCTGACTATAAATTTTGAAATCACGTCGTGATACTAGGCAGTTGTCTCTTTAATCATTTAACCAAGTTTAAGATTCAAAGTATGGTTTGCACTGAAGAATAGCTGTTTAGGTGGGTGAGATACGCGCCCTTGCCCGGTTGAAGCCAAAACAAATTGATTGGGTAAAGTGACGGTTCTATAATTCATCATGAATTTGAATGTACATCGTTGCCTAAACAAATATGACCACCCAGTTATCCAACCAATAATTGTTCAATTAATTAAATCTAAATTACAATAAATAAGGAAGTTGATGATGCATGGAAGAAAGTTACCAATCACAAGAAATAAATGTTGTTCTATCCTGTCTGGATAGACCACGCACAGATTCGTTCAAAAGATAATATTTGGTTGCTTTATAACACAGAGTGTTTCCAGTTCTGGAAGAGTGCCTCAATTCACAATCAAAAATGCACAATTCCAGTCAATACAAGCAACGCAATCAAAAGGAGGAGCAAACCATCTTCTTCAATGAACATGGATCTACCCTCCTACAGGAGCAGGCTTACAAACGCAGTGCGTTCAGTTAAACCTGTTTCCACTCGACCGCAATCAACTGATGTTTTCTTTCAACATGACTTATGATATAGTACACACGTTTTGTTCGTTGAGACTCACATCGACGACTTCTCAAATCGGCATACGAAGGACCCTTCAAAGATCTTCGACGCGAACCTTAGTACTAAATAGTCGATAAGAATGGAATTAATGACAGCATCAGCATTGGCTGCATCAAAGCAACGTATTTAAAAGAAAATCTGACCCATGTCGATTTTCCTTCGATGTAATCGAACGACACGACTCCGACACTTATAAAACATCATCCGACAGCCAACACGCACGTTGACACTTCGGCAGTATCTGAAAATAAACCTAAAACAACGCGTTCTGGAAAGAGTTAGGTTTCCGGATTTTTTGAACGATTATTGCACGTGAGACACCAGGTAACAGTTTGCTCCATCTCGATTTTCCTTTGTGTTATATATAATAAAAAGATTAATATGCTTATACTTATATATTTTTTCCAAAAATAAACAAAATTTTTTGCGAATACGTGCACATTTAATTTTTTTCTTAGAAAAAAAACCAAGAAATTTCCTTAAAATTCGCTTTTACGCAACTGCATGAGTATGAGTTTACTTTCCTCTTTTCGCCTGCTTTATGTCTTAACGCACGTACGAGTGTATTTTGACATGCAATTAAATATTTTTATTATTTTCCAGCTGTTCTGGAAAAGAACGATGAAGTTTACGAGAAACCGAAAATTTGATTGTACTTTGTTTCTTTATTACTATATTTTACTATATGGTTCGTTATAGTAAGGAAATACGAACAGATGCTGCTAAACATTGCAGGCAATCAAAATAGTGTTTGCCAAGGACCAACTTCTGGCTGGCCACATCTTAGGTTCATCACTATCCCACTGGGTGGCGGCAGTGATCTGTAGCGGTAAATAAATCCCAAAAATAAATAGCTCTGTAAGTCTTTGACATTGGATGCTGACCACATTATTTTCAACAGACTCACCTGGCTAAAGGCGCCCGGTCATGCATCCGCACCAAATCACGAGTTGGAACGCCGTACTCAACTTCCCTTGCAATCGCTAGCCAGTCTAGATCAGTCGATCATCGTCATATTGATAGTTTATCAAATATATCATCAACCCTCCTCGCTTCTAACTTTTGATTTCGCTTGGTGGATAAGATTCGTAGTAGAAGGTGTTAATGGTTAAAGCGTTGTCAAACTCCAAATAATAGTGACATCTTCACTGGTAAAACCAAACCTTACGGCATTAAACGATCAGACTGTAAAGAATTCAAACTAAAATATAATAAACGTCTCTACCGAACGAAGAACAACTTTCTATTGACACAAAGAGTAGATCAATTCAATTTGCTTGATAACTGCCTGTACTTGCACTTGTATACATAAGTTCGGGGGACCGTCTGGTATTATGGGCTACCATCTTCGTGAAGACTATAATCATATGTTTCTTTCTTAAATTAAAATACCAAAGTACTGCATACCTGTTTTAAATCCCGTTAACTGTAAGCACGTGATTATTCTTGTAGATCACCAACGTAGGTGATTTTATGTCGGAATGATTGGACGCCTACTCGAGTTAGACGTGAATGGTGTGACAAACTAGCTAACGTCGAAGTTACACCTCGTGGTCAGCGCTTTACGTGAACTACCCCAATTGACTTATCAATGTACCATAGATGTTTTGAAGTCTGTACAACACAGAGGACGTTATTACAGAAATATGTTAGTTAAAGTAGATACAAGCGAAAGTAAGACCAATGCCGCATGGGCCAGTCCATGGCATATGATTAACCAATGCGCGTTGGTTGTACTTGACTTTGGCAGGGAGCGATGATCTGTTCGACATTCAGTGATCCAACTGCCGGATGATTTGTCTAGGGCTCAGTGACATTTCACTGGTCCTACCTTCTCATATACGTCATTTTGAATGGTAACTGAAACACATGTTATCAGTAACAATTACCAGCGTCTTCAGTAATAACCTGGCTATTGACAGTGAAATAAACTGTAAAGATTATTGAAAGTCAACTGAAACACTCATCATTGTGGGACGGGTCAATATTTGAAACTGAAGGTCATGATGTTTGGTTGACTCTTTAGATTTTTGCGTCTCATATAGGAAGCTCATAACAAACATATTAATGCATCCTGCTACTAAACCTGAAGATGTGAGTTTTAATCCTTACTTTTTTATTTACGAATAACATAAAGTCAAGTCATCGAGTCCCAATCGGCATAAATATTTTGACAGGTGGTTTAGCAGGATGTGTTGCAAAGACAGCAATTGCTCCACTCGACAGAGCCAAGATAAATTTTCAGTGTAAGGCTCTCGTACTTATTTTGATCTTTTTAGCTACTCGAATGCCGTTTAATGTTCGGAGTCTTATTCAGTTTCTCAAAAACACTTACCAAGAACAAGGTTTCATGTGCTTATGGCGTGGTCACACTGCAACTCTTGCCAGAATTTTTCCTTATTCTGCTATTCAGTACTCTGCTCATGATCATTACAAACATTTACTTGGGATCGGTTCAACTAGCCATTCGTGAGTTTCTTGATGTCTTTTACAACATACTCCTTGTGAATGTCTCATAAATAAATAAAATATTCTTTCGATTGCTAATCTCTATATCCATATTACTCAAGTGTTTTTTCGCCCGGTAGTATGCCTTAAGTAGACACACGTGAACTTATATTTGTGAAGTTCGATCAAATCGACAGTTATAAGACCAATGGCCTTTTACCTACTTATTTTCAAGTAGTTTTAGCCGCAATCGAACACAGCACACTAATGTGCATGATGCCATCCTCATATTTGAAACCGGGTGCTTTCTTTCTCTCTAGTTGATGAGATCCTCATTGGAGAACTACAATAGTAATATCTACGTCAGAAAATTCGTTTTCTGGTCCTGTACAGATGTAATTATGACAGATAAATTCTGTGGAAATAAGAAGTGTATCTGTTTGAAGTTCTGGAAAATGTAATTTCAAACCAGTTCGGCAAAATATTTTGGCTGCGTATTTACTTCAAAGGGTCTACAAAAGAAAGACGGACAATTTATTGACTTTGAATCGTCCAGTCTCTCAAGATTTTCCCTGGCCCTTATCACAGTTCGCGTACTGCTTAACTTCACTTTATAACCATTATGGGTATACTTCTAAGACTAGTCGTTCTATCTCTTTTCTTTCAGAAATTTCTATTGTCTGGAGATTTTTCTCATCTTGATTTATTTCTGGAAGTAACGGGTACTTCGTTCAACTTCTCAAACATGAGCTATTTACGCAACGAGTAAACAAATAACGTTGTTTTGAATAAGACGCTAGTGAAATGTAGAATCATTTAAATGCATTACTCTATAATCAAGGAATTTTTAGGATCTATTTCTCTGGATCTAATGGCAAAATATTGTTTCACAACTGCTTTATGCCACTGCCTAGTTTATTTATGAGAAGAAAGGTTATGTCGATTGTTTTCTTTTTCTCTATACTCTAATGAGCCTTAATAGCTTAGTAGCTGACGAAATGTCAAAATTAATACTGAGAACTACTTGTTTCTCGTCAATTAACGTCCTTCGTTGCTCTGGTCTACTTGTTATGAGTTTTTATGCCCATGAATAAAGGTCGTTCAAGGTTGCATGTAGACGAGTCTATGCAGTTTGATTCGTGATACAATTTCCACCTAGCTCCGTACATTTTTAGTTTTGCTATATTTATTCATTAGCTTTTATTTTTCCTTTGATGTATAGAGATATTTCGTATATACGTTTACGACGATTTCTTGCTGGTGTTGGAGCTGGGACAACATCGGTTACCTGTACATACCCACTTGATGTTGCTAGAGCACGTATGGCAGTTACAACTGCTTCCAAGTTAGTTGATTGACATTTTGTTAAAATTAAAATCATTCATGTTTACAAACCCTTTTTTTCTAAGCTCCTGGGCTTTAATGTAATTGACCTTCCTCGCAATATACTACCATAGTTTATAGAAAGAAAACTCTCACAAATGGTTCAGAGTTCTCACCTTGGGATAGAATGTATTTTTTGCCAGTATTTGGATACGGAGATTGTAGGGTTTCACTAAAATCTGGGGACACCGAAAGTCCATTTTGCTCTAATATGGGGCTCCCCAGCCGTGTCCATTCTCAACTACGTACGCGGCAATCGAACTCAGGACCTCCGATCTCGCGCACAAACGCTTAACACCTCCGAATGCCGGCTTGGTAGTTCAGGGGTTAAACTCTCGAGCGCGACACTGAAGTTCCTGGGTTCTATAGCCTGTGATGAGTTCGTGAATGCGCACTTTTAAAGAATCACATGCTAAGACGAAACAGCCGTCCAATGCTGCCAGGTTTTCAGCGGTGTTTTTACTTAAATCGGGTCTTGATTTGATATTTTTTCTTTGTTTATTCATAAATATTAGATAGATACGTTATCTTGAGTAATTCTAGTTGAATTTATTTATTTATTTATTTAAGCATCAATGTTGGTACACGGAGGCACCAAATAGATATGCGCCCCACAAATCACTCGACTTGTGTGAGGGCTGGGATACTGGCCGGCTACACAATCCGAAGCAGGGAGCCACACCCCGAGCCTTTGACCTAAAGGTCTAATCCACAAGACAGTGGAGCAACGCCAAGAGATGCAATTCCATGGTAGTCAGTGACTAACAGTTGGTTCATATACCATTTGTTCCCTCGGGAACGTGGAGCCCATGTACATTATTGGTTTGGGATCAAGGTTTCGCAACTCCCCTAGGTGGATCCTCCATATCCACCAACCCGGTTAAAGCGCCGGACATTCGCTTTTCGTCCTCACAATTTCGTAAACAACGCCGCCGCCACGAGGAGGCAGTGAGTAGGACTTCCCTGGCAGTGGTTGTATGCACTTGGCCACGTGAGAGCATTTCGAGAGGGAGAGCTGATTCTTTTTTACTCTTGGCCGTACCTCGACATTCGGGGGCAATTTAAATCAAAACACTCTTGATAATATCATTCTCTCAGAAATCACTAGGAAACTAGATTTTTCTCGCCTATTATTCACTGGTGTGAGAGGGGTGGATGGTCAACCCAAAATATCCAAGTGAATAAATATTCGGTTCGATAAAAGTTTTTTGGTTCATTTCCTCATTGTAAGCTTATCCAACTCTTCGTATTACTACCCTATACAGCGAAAAAAAATTAATTAATTGATCAGTTTGACTTTGACGTATTTTTCTCTCACTTATCATTATTCAACGCACTGTTATCTCCACTGTGTAATCTTTAAAGTTGTTTTACCGACTGGTTTGTGTAGCATATTTAAAGTTAGAACATAATAGGAATTTAAAGCGATTGACATCTTCCTAAATACTCATTTTTCGGCTCCAATATAGATGTTAATTTATGCATAGAATTATTGCCTAAGTAAAGTCATTATTCTAACCATTTATGCTGGATTCTTTTTAAGCTGATCAACCAATCGACCGTTTATGACTCTTCTATTTAGAATTATTACTCAAATTTTTATTTATGGCAAATGAGAATACTGTCGAGATGCCTAACTCATTCTGTCAGTTGTCTAAAATTGTCATACAGAGTTGTATGTGAACTGTAAATAGTTGTGGTTTAGATAAGTCTTATTGTTTGAGGTGTACATTTTCAATTGAATTTAACATAACTAGATATTAGTTGTGCTCATATCCGGGAACATAGGTTTTAGATATATGGATGGGGCACAATATCTCCGGTGTTACTTATTATGATGAAATCACTATAAATTGTGAATTGAGCTTGTTCAAAATGTGTGCACACTGTTGAATACTGACTCAGTAGTACAATAGTTATATTATGGTCTCAGCAAAACATGAAGATCTTGAGTTCGGCACTCGTGCCTTGGGTTTGTTAGGGCACGTTAAATTTTCAAATGTAGCGTACTATGAAGTCAATCTTAAGATTCATACATTTATTAAAGGTGATTTCTGTTCATGTGACAAACTTTCTAACTAATAATCACTGAATGCGATTGGTATATAATAGGATGAGTTCAAACGTGAAGTATTATTCGTTAGTATTCACCAAACTAATCTTCCCCATAAGATTTGTGTTTTAGAGTAATCGGGGCTATGCGATAGCGTAATAGTTGTATTCTGGTATCGAGAAGTTGTGATAACATATCAGGATCGCTAGTGTACATAATTTCTAAAAAGTCTCAACCTAGAATCAAAATGTTGTTCAGTGGTCTTCGGTGTCAATCTTAAAATGAAGCCATGTTTGTATTTTCTTGCTGACAACATATTTTGGAATCACTTAATTTAGTATGATAAGGTTTTCAACTTATTAAATGATCTACTTTCAGTCACCATCGTAATTATATTTACAACAGATTATCCTAGTCACTATCTTTATTCGTAACCTATTTTAATATATATCAATGATCTTATAAGCACATGATAAACACGTGATTATATATATATATATATATATATATATATATATATATATATATATATATATATATATATATATATATATATATAAGGTCACGAGAAAATTCAGTGGTGTTTTTTGTTTAAACGTTGCTGATTTTTAAAAATTATGGTACATTTGCATGAACTCATGATATATAAATTCCAACTTGTAGTAACTTATTGCTAAAGATTTAACGCGATAAGTTAAGATACTTGATTAACGTGAGACGCAATGGCTTAATGGTTTAATCACTCCATTCGATTATAGATTCAAACTCCGATTCAACTACCTTGGGGAGTTGGCCATAAAACTCAGAACCTAGTACAGATTCATGTTGAGTCAAGTTGCCATACAATATAAACACAATCAGATAAAATAACCATGCAGGTAATAATAATAACAGTGATTGCGATAAAGACTGAACATTGAGAATACAGTCCAAATAAAGGTATGTACGGAAAGGTATTGAAACTCAGGATCTAGAGAAGGATAAGTAGTAAATCCATCCATGTACTGCTTTTTCAAAATTACCCAGTTATTTTATGGAGATACATTGATTTCTGCGCATGATTCTCTTGCTATTCATTTATCAAGTACAAAAGTATTTACTTTGACCTACACTGTTTGTACGGGAGCTAATAATACTACTTGACTGTTCAAACTAATGCTAACGGGGGGTTATTATGCGGAATCTATTGGTTGAAAGTCAAGTGTTTTAATCATAACCAATATCACTACTGCCCTCACCCCGGTGAACTATGATTATTTGATATCCAGATTAATTTGACACTGATTTAACTACTATAAACTGGTCAAATATTTAAAGCTAGGATAAGATTAAATTAATCCACGTTCACTAACCTATCTTAGGTTACTTAGGTCACTAAGACCATCTCTAACCCGATTTCCTTTTCAGATACCTCTCGAAGAACCCTTCCACGGTGTGAGCAACCTGGAAGTGATAACTGCCCGCATAATTTCAACAGCACTCAAGATCACTGTATTCATAATCAATCTCCCTCTTCAATTCCTACGTTCTAGCTGACTGACTAACCTAACTAATTCCATACACAACAAGATATATCTTTGGAACCTATTATTCAGATTATAATCTTCCTAAATTTCTCAAAGCATTAAGATTTTACCGACCATATGTTCATGTGCACTACTGTTTACAAGAAGATCTTTAAACAACCTCTTATCCTTTAATTACTGCTTTTAATTATCTTTTTTTGCCAACTGATAACCATTCGAAAGTTATTCTACATCTAAGATACAAAACTTGAAGGTTCTAACTTTTAACCCTAACGAAACAGTGGATAATATACACTTCTGAGTAGTCTCAGTAACCTAGTGTTCCTTAGTTTTTCAAAAGTATTCGAACTGAAGTTAATTCATGATCAGTACCAATTATAAATTAAATTAATTCCCAAAACCTCTCCAGACAAAATACAACCACATTTATTAAAATCTAGTGGTATACTGGCTTTCATTTGTGTGTAATCATTGTAACTTATTTTAAATTAGTATATATATAGCTAAGGAAATGTTAATTAGATGAGTTGAAACAATAGTTGTACCATTCATAACAAATAAATTATCAAGCATGACGAATACATAGTTTGTGAAACAAAACGGATGAAATTGAAGCAAAAGAGGTATAAAATAATAATAGTAATATTAAACTCATAATCTACAGGAAAATGAAAAATGAATAGACCCATACCACTGCGATTGATATCGACCCACTATCATCCAAGGTCTCTAAAAATAGATTATGATTATCTAACGGATTCTAACATGAACGTCTGTATCTCTCAACATATCTTATACCAATATTAAATGAATTTGTGAATTATTGTGATATTTTGTTCTAACTCTTTTCTTCTACCAATTTACATGTTAGCCAGTATAGTGTGTTGAGGATGTGTACTACAAATTCTAATTGACAAGTTGATACAACTTCGCAGTCTGATCAACATACTTTATGTCTCAATCTAGTACCTTACAAACAACTTCAAAATACAATCAGAACAGTTGTATTGTTAAGTTACAATTGATTAATAAAACTTTGAAACCATCTATGAAAAATAAATATTACTAGTGCTAAATGGACTGTGATTACTCTACTACTTAGTATTTTTTGAGCAAAATACTTTACTCAACTAGTCTTAAATCATCATGAAACCTGTAAGCAGACAGGGGTCTATTTGAGAATTGAAACAAGAACATATTGTGTAGTAAAATGTTAAGTATGACTTACATAGGAATCTTCTATCTTTTTAATTTATCCAGTAATACCTGACTGGTTGAAAATAAAACAATTAACATGATCCGACATATACTAATCAATGCTCTATCCTGTTAACATGGAGATTTACTCATAAAACTTAACTTTTGATCCCAATGGAATAAGCATAAATCTATAGGATCTAATTACATTTTTGTCAATGGAATAAAACTATGAATTATCATGATTCTTTCCGTGAACCTGTATACTTAACAGTATACTTCTTTTAGTAGATGTACTTGTGATCGTTAGTTGAGTTAATTCTACCGTCAAATTATTCTATTTATCATTAAAACTAGTTATTTATAAAACTATTACTGTTATTATTATTTTTGTGGGGCGTTGTTAAGACTTTTGAATTTGAAGTTTCACATTATGAAATATCTGTTTAAACAACCATTTGAAACCAGAATGCACTGAATAGCTGTTTCGTCATGGTGTAGGTCACGTCAGTAGTGCACATACACAGCCCCACCTGTGATTGAATGCAGAATCACTAAGTTTATATCCACTGGTTTTTATTTCTGACGTTAAACAATTCACGATCTTACGCAACTATCGTGCACTGCCTTTGTTGATATGTCTCACTACTAACAAGGTTGAACACTACTGGTTACTACTTTCCATTTAAACTCCAGGAATTACCTCGAGGTTAGTCACCAGTAACCACGTGATGACCGTTATTGTAGGGACCTGTGAAGATTTTTGAATTTTCCTATTACTGACTGGCTATGTTTAGGCAGTGGATAATAATTGCACTATATCGCGAAGCAACCGAAGTTAAAAATGTCAACCACTGGGTTATCGACGTAGTGGTGTGAAGGTTAAGCGTGCGCTCCGAAATCTGAAGGCCCCGTGCTCGACCCCAGCTAGGGTTGTGGATGTTTACTGTTACTGAGTCTCACACTAGCTGTGTCAGTACCCTTTTGTTTTTGCTTGTTGTGTAAGCAAAAACTATCCGTAGTTTGATACTTCATTATTATGGATCTGTATTTCGTTACTTCCGCCATATATGATTTCTTTTGTTCATTTACTCAGATATTCTAGTCTTTTTCATGCTATACGAGCTCTTTATACAGAAGAAGGATTAAGTGCATTGTATCGTGGTTTTTCCCCTGCTCTCCTCGGTATTATCCCATATGCTGGGACAGCTTTCTTTACGTTTGAAACACTGAAAGAAACTTGTTTAGGTAAGAAGTCCTTTTTTATATCATTTCTCTACCTATTTACGATTGATCGTCTCTTTTTATTCCTCCCTATCAAGCACTTTATTTTAACTCTTGTTCTTCTAAAACTATTGTTTTAAAATTATTTTACGTGTATGTGTGTAATGGTTCATTGTTTGTTGGTGTTGTCCACCACACTGTAGGTAACTCCAAATCAGTTAATCACTCAGTTTTCGACCAAGTTTTGTCTTCTATTTGCGTCTAAATCCATTTTTTATGATTTACCTAATCATAATGTATTGTTTTCTCTCACACAATGTCAAGAAAATGAATCCTCTATGATTTAAAGATGTCTACCATTATGGTATGACTTCAGTTTGTAAAGGATAAGAACACCCATAACATAAGCATCTTACATTACGTCATCGCTACTAATAACACCACTGTTTTTTCTCTTTCTGTCTGTGTTATTCAGTGTCGTGTTTATTTCTAACTGAAATATTTAAGTTTAACTGATGCAAGTCAATCGTTCAGATGTTACTTTATGATTTTCATGTGTGGTAATTATTATAAATTGGTCGTAAGAATCTGTATTGTATATATTTACATAAATAATGTTTATTTACTTTTCTATTCAGACAGAAACAAAGATCCCATCACTGGTAAACGGCCTAAAAAACTGTATCCATTTGAAAATTTATGTTGTGGTGCAGTGGCTGGAATTTTAGGACAAACTGCTTCGTATCCACTAGATATTGTTAGACGAAGAATGCAAACTGCTAATATTACAGGTATGCTATTTAACTTGTTTCGGTGCTGTGTTTACCTTTATTTTCTTCTTTTTCATTTTGTTTCGTTATTGATAAATCCACTTACCGCCTTACATCTAATGAAGGGCTGAACTTGTTAAACATGTGATTGTTCTTAATGATTATAGTTTTTGAATCATCAATTGATCTTAGCCAGACTATCATTGAAAACCCTGGAGGAACTGAACGGCAGTTTCGTCCTAGTATAAGACTGCTTAGCAATATACATTCACATACCCGCGCATCCTGGGATCAGATCGAGGACTTTCGGTCTCAGGTGCGAACATTTAACCTATAGATCATTGAACCGGTAACCGACAGTGTTAATGTATAACTTCAATTAACTCATGATATTGCGCAGTCTTCATCTATTCCCTACGGTGAATAACTGTGCCATAGCTGACATATGTGTATGTTTGTTCTAGTGATCAAAGTAATCTTTTTTTGTCCCCAAGTGAAAAAAAAATGGTTAAGATTATAAAATTTGTTCAGTTAAAAATATACTATAATGAGAAAAAAATGTATCATTTAGAAATCTATCGTGTAATGTATATTTTCTTTAGAAGTTATTGCGAATATTGATGCATTTTAACTAATTATACATTTTTTATTATTCTAATCATTAGATATTTCAAGAGTTTAGTTATTTAGCTCAGTTTTATTTTTAAAAAAACATTTTTCGGATGTTTTTCTGTCATTGCTTATTTACTTACGTCTGTTACCCCTCGTTGAATATTAATCATCAACCAAAAATCTTCAATTAACTCTATCTTAAGCTTTATGTTCCAGTTATTCCCCTTTTTAGACTTAACGCTGATTACTAGTCTATGTTAAATGTTCAATTCATCAAACATAAATGTACGCATTTCTGTTGTGTTTTTTTCGTAAAAAATATGTCAGGCTTCACATTAATATTATAATCGACTGACTTTTCTCAATCACATGTAATTTTCTGGTTTGTGACCTTATTCATTTAAATAGCTTAAGCATATTGAACAATTTTCTCTCGACTAGTCTTTTTCTCCAATAATTAAGTACAGATTCGTGCATATTTGTAAATATTTGGTTTAAGAGTTGTTGATACGATTGCATAACTTTTAAATCAAAATCAGTGTTATCTGCGAGATTTAACTTAAGAGTTAATTATTGAAAGTTGAATAAATGTTAACCACTAATATACTCTATCTATTCTTAATCATAAATGTGTTTGAACCAGTTAAAAATATACTCTTTTTATGTATCACAGTTAATATAAAAACAGTTGATTGTATTACGGTGTGTGCTACTGATGACGACAGATATAAGTAGCATGTATTGCCAATCGAAAGTGGAATGCCTGATGGCAAAGGTTAAGAGAATTCGAAGAGAAGAGAACGAGAACAGAGAGTGATTGATATGGAAGTGAAGGAATAACAAAGTCTGAGACAGTTGATGGATATTTTGGAAATGAAGTATTTACTGTATGGTTCTCAGATTTTACCAAGTTATTTTGTAATGTATTAAAATACATTTAATTGTCCTCATTGGTGTTCTCGTTCACGACAGTATTATGGAAAAAATCATAATGATAATTATCGTATTATGATCAGAATAGGGTTTGTGGAGATTGCAGTAATTTTAATAGTTGAATCCGTGAATCGATGTAAGCTAGGTCACCATTGAAAACCTAGAAGCAATGGACGGCCATTCCGTCGTAGTATGGGATTTCTCAGCGGTGCGCGCCCACGATCACGCACGCGAGATTCAAATCCAGGACCTTCGGTCTATTAAAATTATTGTATTGTTATAGTGTTTCATAGTATTCAGTCAGTAGTCTTGAGTGCTGTTAGAGGTATGAGGGCGGTTATCACTTCCCGATTGCCCACACCGTGGGAGGGTTCTTCTGGAGGTGCCTGAAAAGGAAATTGGATTAGAGGTGGTCTTAGTGACCTGGGAGCGTGACCGCAGTGCCCAAGGGACAACTGCTTGAGGTCGGTCACACCCGACCGTTTTATGAGTGATTTTTGTGTTAGCTCCGTACTTGTTGAGACCTTACCGCTGGAGACGGATATCCGTGAGATAAGGCGAGGTGTGCATTTTTAGGGTCGACCTTTTCTAACCCCACCTCTCCTTGTGGGAAAGCAGCATCGCTGTCATGGTGGTTGTCTGAAGGAAACACCTTACTGCTGTCACACCTCTGTACAGTCGGGAGTACGACTTCGCCTTCGGACCTTGAGGAACGGTTGTTCCAGGCAATATAGCTCGGTCGCTTCATCACGATAGGCAAACCCGACCACCACGTCAAGGTAGCAACAACGGTCGGGTTTCATAATATTAATCTAAAAGCTAAAGCGAAAAATCGATGTATGATACTGAAATTCATATATGATTGCTCACTGAGCGTGGACAAATATGCACTTAACTTATAGACTGTCAAATATATGTGATTTCCTTTCCTTTCATTGATTTACTTCTCTGAACTCATTGAGATACGTTACTTGTAATTTTATTGAATCAAGTATTATCTAGATTGTACTTAGGTTTTCTATTCTGCTTTATGAATCCTGGATCTGATATAACATCGTGACACTAGTCTCATCGTACTAACATATCATAATATATATATGTGAAAGGGATAAAAGTATTCAAAACCACCCATTATACATCAAGAAAAAAACAATAACATTCCTGTACAGTGATCTCTTAATTTATTGCTCTCATTGTGTTTAAAACTAGTTCCAAAACAAATAATACGTATACAATTAAAAGTACGTTAATGTACCATTGTATACATTTATTTGTACAATATATTTTAACTTGTTAAAATAAATCTTGAAGATTCTGACAAAGTTGACTGTTAAATTAACTTGATATTTGATATCTTTTCTCTACACAATAAGTTACGAATGATTTTCGTGTAAAATTAAAAAATGTTCATTGACCAAGAAAGATTATATGGTAAATTCAGGTATTTGATGATGAAACTAATAATAAAATACTTCATGGAATAGATTTCACTTGATTTTATGTGATAGCCTAATAAATCTTCAACGTTTCAAAACATATTATACTGATCAAATTGACCTTGTTCGATGAAGTGTTTCCGATCGTAACTACTACCTTGAAGTAGTGGTCGGAGTTACCTATCGTAACGATGCAGTCGAGCTATTTTAGCTGAAACACTTATTCTTTTAGGGCAGCAATAAGATGAAAAGCAGAAAACTTAAGATCTGGAGGCGAAATTGCACTGCTGATTGTACTGAGGGGTAAGAGCAGTAAGGTGTTTCCCTCAGATAAGCAGCATCTGCATACATACTTCATTCTTACAACGAAAAGATGGCGTTAAAAGGTTAGCTCTATAAATTTCATACCCCACGGATTTCTGTGGTCTTTTAAAACACGGAGCTAATCCTCTAAATTTCTCACAGAAAGACGTTTTCTGATCGACCTCAAGTAGATTTTTGGGCCCCCAAATGCCCTGATACGGCCGAGAGTGGGGAGAGTCCGCTCACCCTCTCGAAATGCTTTCACATGACCACGCGTATATAGCCTCTGCCAGGGATGTCCTACTCACTGCCTTCTCGCGGCACTACTGTTTACGAAATTGAGAGGACGAAAGGCGAATGTCCGACGCTTTATTCGCGTCGGTGGATATGAGGGTCCGTCTATGGGAGTCGGAAAACCCTGATTCCAAACCAATGGTGCACATGGGCTCCAATATTCTAAGGGAACAAATGGTGTATGAACCAATCGTTGGTCACCAGTTTCTATGGGACTGCATCTCTTGACGTTGCTCCACTGTCTTGTGGATTAGACCTTTAGGTCAACGGTTCGGGGTGTGGCCTCCTAAGAAAACCAACTGCTTCGGTTTGTGCAGCCGGGCGGTATCACAACCCTCACACAAATCGAATGAGATTTGTATTGCGCATATGTATTTGGTGCCTCCTTGTACCAATATCTATGTGTTCAAATAATAAATAAATAAAAATAATAGTAAGCTTTTTGGGCTCTGCAGTCACGCTCCCAGGTCACTGCGACCAAATTTAATCCAGTTTCCTTCTCAGGTACTTCAGTATGAAATATCTTTTCACATTTTTGGGAACCGCAAAGTGATAAACTCTTTCATACTTCAACCCTAGAGATCTTATTTACGATCAGATGTGTTTAGTTAGTTTTCGATTTTCATTTAGGAACGTTCTATTTATTGATATATTATGTTTTATATGTGGTTTCATATGTGTGATACGTGCAAATTAAGTATAAATGTATCAACATCTTACTAGAAGGAGTCGATTTTCAAATGTACTCGGTAGTTTGAGCTCAGCTTTAATAATAAGGTCTAGTAATTAATGGATAATATTGCAATGTTATAACCCCTAGGTTCATTTCCAACTAGTTTCTGCTTAGCAAGTTTGCCCTAGAGAAATTGTGAGGCTAACATATCCAAGAGATTTATTGAGAAAGTTTTTATTACTTGCAAGAAAGGTTATTACTTTGAAAGCACTCAACGAATGTCGTACGTCTTTCCAATATGCGCTAAAAAAGTAAATTACATCTAAGATTTCGATTTTAGCTCGTTTAGTCACAAGATAAAACAAAATGAGACGATAATGACAACCACTTACGTTGAATGGAGAGATGATGAATTTTAATGGTTTTGTCTCTATGTACAGTAAGAGAAGTCTGATCTGTTCTTTCACTACGTGCGTCTTAAAAACATACATAGAAGAATTTCAGGCCTTCAAAAATGATTTTTTTTCTGAATAGCGGTTATTGTTAACCGATTTTAAGTAAGCCCTCTATGCTAATTTATTATCATGTGCTGACTAACGACTGGCTTTATGGTGTGATTCGTGGAGTTCTCGCGCGAATCTATGACCACTAGAGCTTAATTCGTGTCGGGTGTAAGACAGTTATTCACTACAAACAATAGATGAGGGTTGTGCAATATTGTGAGTTGATTGAAGTTATACATTAACACTGTCGGTTACCGGTTCAATGATCTACAGGTTAAATGTTCGCACGCGAGACCGAATGTCCTCGATCTGATCCCAGGATGCGCGGGTATGTGAATGTATATTGCTAAGCAGTCTTATACTAAAACGAAATTGTCTTTTAGTTTCTACATATTTTCAATGGTGGTTTAGCTAAGATTGGTTTTAGATTTAAACTATATAAATCTGAAATCACTCAAAAATGATCATTTTGAACTCAAGGATGATATTATGGTTCAACTTGTTAATTGCTTGGAAAGTTTACGAAGACGAATATTCTATACAACCGCTTGTATAAATATGTTATACTAGCCTCTTACTGGTATGCATCTGAGTAAAGGACAAAGTACACTGGATGTGTGAATGTGACTTGTTTAGCATCTCTTATGGAACTAGGTGCATAGGTCATTTATTGACATATATCCAACGCGTAGAAGAACACTTCTCATTGTGACTCAGTGAAAAATAACCCATAATTATTGATTTTCTTATTCTCCTTCATGTATTTGACCGTAGCCACATAATATTGGCTAGATCTTTCGATGTGTTTTTTTAATAAGAGATAGATCTAGCCTAATCTGTCGAAATGTGTACTCATGTATTTCTATTTACTCTACAGATGTACTTTAACAGCTAACAATATATGCTTCTTATTATTCAGTATTTACCTACTCATCTGTCCGGCATAGACAGTTTTGTGTATTTAACTTCATTTTTACGTTCTTAGTGTTTGATCTAGTATTACTTACTTGCTTGCCTAAATCACAAATAAATGAAATGTAAACGGAGGGAAGTTTGTACCTGTGACTTAGCGGTAAGATATCAAACACCTTAACCAAATAAGCAAACATTTCAAAGTTATTAATCACATTTTATTCATCGTATATAATACTTTTTTTCACTTTTCTATTATCTATCTAAATTAACTAGGTCATCCAGAATACATAGAAAGTGTATATAAAACATTACGATATGTATATAAAGATGAAGGTTTTATTCATGGATTATATAAAGGTTTATCAGTGAATTGGATTAAAGGGCCAGTAGCTTCAGGTATTAGTTTCACTGTTTATCATCAATTTCAACATTTACTTCATCAATGGATAATGATTGATGAATAATTTTTCTTCTTTTCATCATTGATAATTATTATTTTCTTTCGTTACCATCTATTTATTAAACAAGAACCAAATTATTATGGATATTACATCATAAATTCTTATGATCTCTCTCTAAACACGATACATATTTGTTGTTGCTAAGACGTAGTCTGAGCTGTTATTGTTGTTGCCTGTCTTTTTCTAGTTGTTTATTAGTTTTTACAATATGCATTTGTTGACCGTCTATCATATCCAATTATGTGTTCATGAGTTGTATTGATGTAGTGAACAAGAACACCAGTGAAGACAATCGAATGTATTTAACACAAAATTACAGGACTTGTTGATAAAATCTAACTATCATAAAGTAAATGCTTAATTTGCAAAATGTCCA